TTCTACGTGGGTTTCAGCGTGGTAATTGTTGTCTCTAATGTCCTTAAAACTCAACAACGTTCTTCCAAAATGTGGAGAAGAAAGTGCCTCATCAATGGTCAAAATTGTACCGTTGGACAACATTATACGTGCCTTACCGTATCCTTCGATTAGGTTGGATGAGCCTGAGAGGATTGTCAGATGTGCATTCTTAGGTATGAAGTTAGTGAAATAGATGCGTTCATGCAAAACGGTGTGCGTGCTCGCACTATTGCCAAACAATTAACTTCCCCAGTAGTCATACCTAGAATGAAAAATTAATTTGAATCGGTCACATGCATAAAAGTTCTAAAAACAAATATCCATTCAAAATAATTTTAAGAAATCAAGGACGGAAATTAATTAAAAAACTTAATATCCAAAACAAGGTTCTAAAAGACGTTAGGCGCTAGTTAGACGGCGGGCTGGGGCCTAACGCCTAGACGGCTAGATGGAACCTAGGCAGGCGCCTAGGCGGATTTAAGTAAATCTATTATATTTCGTGTAAATAAGTGTCTGTTTATACTTTAAATATATATAATTTCGTCATAAACTACAAAATAGAATAACATATATATTATGAAGTATTGGAACATAATGAAAACATGGGGAACAAGCATATAATGTACGTTCATTTAAGTATTCAATAAGTCTTTTACAATTTATTGAAAAAAAATAAACGCAAAATGAAAGTTATCTATTTTCTGTTTAAGTGAGTCGCAACCTAGGCAGGTGGCTAGGTGGGTCTAGAAGGGTTAAGCGGGTGCCTAGACGGTTTAGGCGGGCGCCTCAGTAGGTCTAGGCACCATTTTTTAATTTTCAAACGCCTAGGCATTAATCAGGACGGTGACCAGCCGCCTAGCGCCTAGGAGGCGCTAGGTGGAGATTTTTAGAACAGTGATCCAAAAACAAATCACCAAAAAATAATCCAAACATAAAGGAAAATTGTTCAAAATTTAACCAAAAACATGAAGGGGGTTCGGCCACTACTGTGGAATTCGGCCCCATGGTCTTATTTTAACTAGAATAATAGTTTATATCTAAGATTCTAATCTTCCATAAGGGTAACGGCCTCTTGAAAGTCAGAAACCTCCATCTTGGTTTTCTCCGGTTCGTCCACTTGCATAAAGTTTGATTCAAACTTCTTACGACAAGAATGATATTCAACTACAACCTTCTAGGGAGCTGGGCAAACACAAGACCAATGTTCCTTTGAACCATAGCTATATCACATATTCGCATCCATGGTTTCAGGTGCTTTGCCCTTATTCTTGAAGTTTGGGACCTTGGGAGCAAGGTTAGGGCGCTTCTGGGCTTTGTTTCCTCCCTTATATAGGCCTTGACTCTGTGACCTTGACAGAGTGACTTATGGCCGCCCCTACTAGGCCTCTTTTGGCGTTTTTGGTGTTAGTTTGTGCTATAGTGTGCTTCAGGTAGAACAGTTGCCCCAGTAGGACAAGCTTGATGATTCTTCATCAACAGCTGATTCTGCTTTTCAGCAAGAAGTAAAACAGAGATCAAATCCGAGAACTTAGTGAACTTTTGAGCTCTATATTGTTGCTGCAAGACAATATTAGTAGCAGAGAAGGTCGAATATGTCTTCTCCAGGATATCCTCTTCGGTCAAAGTCTCATTACAAAACTTGAGAAGTGATCGGATTCGACAAACTTCATAATTATATTCATTCACAAACTTAAAGTCTTGGAAGCGCAAATGCTGCTAGTCATGTCTTGCTTCAAACAAGAAGATGTCCTTTTGGTGATCAAAATGATCAGCCAAAGCGACCAATAGTGCTTGTGGATCCTCCCCAGCAAGGTACTCAGTATGTAGTGTATCATGAATATGTCTTTGGATGAAGATCATGGTAGTGGCTTTCTCAGCTTCGCCAATTGGGTTGTCCGTCTCATATTCAATGGCGGGATGCAAATTCTTTGCAGTGAGGTAGAGCTTCACATCTTGGACCCACTTGAGGTAGTTCCTTCCAGAGACATCCAAAGCGGTGAAGTCGAGTTTGTTCAAATTTGACATGTTACTATCACAAAATAGATGGACAAGATGTGGTTAGTGTAATGGAGAAAAATATAAATCCATTAACATTTAGGTCCTAATAGACATGTATTGGTTAAAATTTGCATGAAAAACTTCGGGTTTTCATGGGTGATGTTTTTAAGAAAAACTTTAGGTTTTCAAACAAGGCATGTTTATAGAAACTTCAGGTTTCAAAATAATTATGAACTTCAGGTTCATATGTTCATGCAGATAAACGCAAATATATACACGGAAATATGCAAATAGAACTTCAGGTCTAGAATTATAATTGAATTAATTATTTGGACTTCGGGCTAAATTTAAAGTGTGGGTGAAAAAATATAAAACTCATTGGGGCTAAAATAATTAGGCAATTAAACAAGGGGCCTAAAGAAAATTGGACCAAAGCCCACGAGTGGGTTGAGTAAATATAATGAAATCGGGGGTCCAGCCCGAAGAAATTTTGGGCTGGGTTGGTCACGGGCCTTATATAGGTAGGCCCAGCATCACAGAAAAATTGGTTGCCGGTACAAGCCCAAGGATAGAGGCCCAAACAGGCACGGATCTGGTGCTTTGCGGTTTATGGAAACCATAACAGCCTTGTGGGCTGTGTTCCTCTATGGTGCGAGACACAGGAACACCATGACTTTGGAAGGCCAGTGTGTGGGCCGAGAAGAGCTCCAAAGCCCAACGGGCTGGTGCTCACCGAGAATGGACCAAGCCCAAGTAAGCTTGGGTTTCGAACCAGACACCTCTGCGTAGGTTGGGTGAATTTCGTTGGAGAAGACAACCAGCACCACCGGTTCAAGGGGTCGTGTCTAGGTGCAAAATCAGGGCAAAGAACCATGGGTTCGATGGCGACCCATAAAGTAAACAGAGAGTGGAGACTCTCAACGTTTGTGTTAGATACCTTAGGAAATTTAATCAGAATTTTGAAGGAAAACCGATGAGATTCAAAATGAATCTCAGCCAAAAACTTGTTAGGGGGAAGAGACGATCTTCAGGTCGTCGGGACGAGGATCCAAAGTCAGGATTAGGTTACAAGCCCACCTGCGAGGGAAGAAGACGCCATGGATGGCATTGGGTTTGTTCTGGGTTTCAAACCAGGAGCCTATGGCTCCGGCTTATGGTTTCGTGGCTCAGCGCGGCTCAGCCAAACAGGTTGCAGGCCTAGGTTAGAGACTCAAGTTGTGTCTTATGTCATGGGTTCGAATAACCCTAAGGATTACCGATTGTTTCCCCTTTTTTTTTCAATTAATTCAATTCAATGCATATCATACAATTCAAATATTTTAATACATGTACATATATTTGATGCAATTCATGGCAATATCAAATTCACATAATTCAACAATTATGAATATAATGCATACACAGTTTATGTAGAATCTAAAATTCAGAAAACGTAAAGTTAGGTCATGCATTATGGTGAATGTTCATGCTATCAGGGCTGCAAAAATATCGAGATAAAAACTATTGTTTTGGAAGAACCTGATTGCATGATGATATGGATGACCTGGTTTGATGCAGAAAAAGCTTCAACGTGAAATTCCTAAGCGCAACGGTATGAGCGTGTTGTAGCCTATTTTATTTGACTAAGGGGAAAGGGCCACAACAATGAGAGATTGTAGAGGGGGATGTGTTTGTAGAATCGTAGGGGAATGTGTGTGTTATTCCCTCCTATGTAGTGCCTTTATTTATAGTTATAAGAGGGAGAAGAATTCCTTCAACCCCAAGGAATACAAGTCCATATAGGAAAGAATAACTAGAATCAAATCTAATCTAGGATTTACACAATCACACTTAAACTAGGAAAGTTCATAACAATTGAAACCTTTTTTTATTAGTTTTCCTTATATTATTTTGGAGTCTTATTCTCATTTCAATCTTGAGACTTTTTAGTATATCGGTATTCAAGGTAGTAGGTACATCACGTGCCATTACATAAGTGGAGGAGAAGTAAAAAATATATCATCAATTATATTACACACGAAATGTATCAGTTTGTGTTTTATATACTTAAAAATAAAAAATAAAAATAAAAATCTCTTCTAAGGTTTTGATTTCTTTTATAAATGCTGTTTATATAACTTTGCACAATTTGTAACTATTAAATGGGTAAGTAAAGTGTTAGACGGAGAAAAAAGGGGTAGGTGAAGTAGAATGAGGTGGTAGTTTTGACAAGAGAATATGGGGTGCTCCACTGTCTATCAATTTATCATTACTTTTATATTTTGTATCATTTACATGTAAAAGGTCATTCCCTTTACTGACAGCGTAATATTTTAAAGGATGAATTGTTAATTTAGTCTTTGAATTATCACTTAAATAAAAATTAAGTCCCTAAATTATTTTTTTTCAGAAAAAATCAGTCATTAAATTATAAAAATTTACCAATTACATCTCTAATACTATATTCCAAGCTACTATATTCAATTTTCCGCCAATTTAAATTACGTTACTTGCATGTGATGCACATTGGAGGGTAGATTGGTAATTTTACATAAAGAAATAGTGTATTGGGTTAACTTTGGAGGGTAAATTAGACGTTAGATTTGTAACTTATATAATGTTAAGGGCTTTTATACGAGAAAAGAACGGTATTACACTCGAAAGTGTGTCAAGTTACATAAGTTGACGAAAAATTAAATAAAATAGCTTTGAATATAATAGTAGGGATGAAATTAGCAATTTTTAATGAATTTATGGACTTATTTTACCAAAAAAATAATTCAAAGTCATAATTTTCACTTAAGTAAGAATTCATGAACTAAATCTGCACTTCACTTCCTTACAAGCCCAATTGTCGATTGCACCGGTTATATATCTCTCGTCACGTGTAACTAAGAATCTCGGGTTTTATCACAATAACACAACCAGAAAGTGTACATCCCCACCCGGCACAAATTACAGGATAACACAAATTGTATTGAATAGAAGATTATGGCCAGCAATTTAACTCAATTCGAGTTTCAAATCCTTATCTATTCAGACCTCCACCATGAAATGATTATTCCAAAGAACACGAAACACAATATCAGTTCTTTTTTTTCTTTTTTTTTTTGGGTGAAAAGTGCTTTATTCCAACACAATAATTACACAAGAAAATAGCCAAATACATACCATACACATAAACAAAAAGGACCTCAGAAGCAACTAAAGAGCCCAAAACAAAGAATACACCGAAACAAACCCTAGCAGCTTCAACCCGCCGTCGCCGGAAAGCCACTTACCAACCAACCAACAAAAACAAACGTTCCCTGCACACACCTGAAAACAAGCTAAACAAAGCTCCAAAAGTAGAAGAAAATAGAGTGAAAACAGAACCCCAACACAAATCCCCAAACACCGTCAAGCACCACACCTGTAGCTGCCACACATCGGAAGAAGCTTGCGGGAAGAAGCAACCCGTTAGCAACAGGGCCAACAAAGTGAAACCCAAAACGAAGGAAGCCAGTGGGAAAGAGCAACCCACTAGCAACAGTGCCATCAAAGACAATCCCAAGGAAGGTGGTGGTGTGAACACCCGAGCGAAAACTCTACACACCTTCCGGGTGAAACGCGAAAAATCGTGGTACAAAGATGGAGAAGCCAAACCAAGATGTGAAGTCGAAGGATGGGGTTGCTTGGGTGGAAGATGGAGTGAAGTGCGAGGAAAGTGGAAGAAAAATGAGAAAAAGATGGAAAGAAGATGCAAAGAAAGGGAAAAAGGAAGAAACGACAGAATGAAAAAAGGTAAAAAAAAGTAGAAGGAAGGAAGAAGGAAAGTGGAAAGGAGGAGAGAAGGAAGAAAAAAGGAGGAAAAATGGAAAGGAAGTGGAAGGGAGGAAGGAAACCAGGGAAAAAGGGACTATAGACAGAGAAATCAGGGGCACAAGAAGTTGGAAGAAAGTGGCTATCAGGCCCTTGGAGAGGGGGAAATAGAAGCTGAAGGAGAAGGAAAGAAAAAGAAAAGTGGAAACACAATATCAGTTCTCAAGGGGCACGAAATGGTCTTTCCATGTAGAGTAATTACATCGCTTTTGACTACTATTAGTCACGCTCGATGCTTCTGTCACTTTCTCTACAACAACACTGCCATCACAATTGAGTCTGTATGAAACATCCAATCCTTCTAAAGTCAGGTGATATATTATGTCTCTGGGAGACTGCGGTGGCTGTTCGCTTCCAGGGCTAGAAGCTTCTTCACCAGGGTAGTCATCTGAACATTCGTTCAATTGTTTCCCATTTTCTGACTTGGTGAAGGAATCATGAGGTCGATTTCGTTGAGACAATGAGCGAATATCCCATGAAAGCACCTGCTTGATCAAGTTTTGGAACTGATCTGGTGAAGCATAGAGTGAATTCTTTCCCTGCAACGAACCAGATGCAGATGGAATAAATAAAGTGCACAGGAATTGGTGCTTCAAGGTGTGAGAGAATAAAGTATTTCCCAGTTAATGTAGTTGATTTTTGAACTGTTTTCATGGAAAAGGAATAGCATTTTCTAAACCCGAGATTTAAATAGCTAATTATTTGAGTATAAGGGCAAAGGAGTTTATCTAGCATATTTGAACAGGACAATGAAAACAGAAGATTAAGAATCGATTAAACATTCACAACCAGGGAGTGAAAGAAGGAATCAATCTATTCATGATCTGCTAAGAACCCCTTTGGGAATTTTGAACAGGATGCAAGTTCAGAACCTAGAACTGATAGAAGAGTCGGCTAACAGGAATGTCAATTATTCCCAGGTATAGCTATTTGCAGGATGAGATAGAACATATGGGAGACCTATTTACTAACTCGCAGAGTTTCGCAATCAGAGCACCAAAAAAACAGGCAGAATGAGATCTCACATGATGATGAGTTGTTGAATCTTTTAGAATTTAATTACTGAGGTCTTATGATATCCTCCACTAGTTTCAGCGCATAGAGCCTGAGTTCGACCAGTACTATTGATGAAGAAAAACTATACAATTCTTTTCATAGGAAAGATAAAACATATATAGTTGCCAATCAAATTGCACACAATGTACAAAAATTTTCATACAGCATAGTCAGTCCAATGTTGAGGCACATATTTTATATCAGGAGGTCAGTTTCCCTCTTAGATCTTCACATTTGACTTCCAGGTTTCAATTTATATTTTTCTTGGACAGAATGATCTTTAAGGTGTTCAGTTACATCCTGTCTTTTGGTTTTCTTCTTATTTCCTGGGTTTTTTTTTTTTTTTTTTTTTTTTTTTTTTTACTGCGGTACCCTTGTTTTAAAGGTTGTTTACATTTCTTTCTGGTGTTGTGTGAAGAGTTTGACTTTTACCAATGAAGAGCTAGGAAGCAGACTATTGATGCAAATTGTAAACAAATATGAATAATTAATCAAAACAACAAATTAAAAGGATGTCTCCTTCAAAAATATGAAACAGGTTCTTGATATTTGAAGTAAAGATAAGACCACTCACTGATATTTCCCAGCAATCAGCGAGTGTTGAAGTGAAGCCCTCCGAGAAACTAACAGAAGCTACTGCTAAAACACTGTCCCCCTGCAGAAGAAATGGATATTAATTCAAAACAAGGAAGGAATTGATCCTATAAGTTACCAGAAGAGTACTTACATGTTACACTGACATAGGAAGAAAGCTCTGAAATAGGTATTTTTCCTTTGAAATCACATTATACAGTTGTATACTAACAATTCACAATCTCAAAATATGCAATGGTCGAGGTGGGAAATATCTACAACTTATACATATGCAGTTTTCCATAATAGATATTTGAAGGTTTTGGTCCAAGTATCAGTCAAACTGAACAAAGAGGTCGCACTTGGTGCGATGGCAAGTGCCTTCGCCCATGAGCGATAGGTCTCGGGTTCGAGACTTGGGAGCAGCCTCTCCATAAAATGGGGGTAAGGCTAGCCGACATTCACCTCTCTCAGACCCTGCGTAAAGCGGGAGCCTTGTGCACTGGGTACGACCTTTTATCAGTCAAACTGAACAAGAATCCATACTGCAAACCAACTCTCAACTGAACGGGAGAGTTTGTATCCTGCAGCTTATGCACCAATAGTCTATACTGTATGAACGTCTGATAACTACACATCACTTGACTTTCAACCTCCCAAGTTTAATATCCAAAACTTCTTGATGAGTTTAATGGACAATCTCTTATCTTGTATGTCACGAAACTATAAAGATTCACAAATTCCTGAAAGGCAACGGAAATGATACCGTTAACCACTTTGGCACTCTTGCTCCTTGGATGCTGTCACTGTAGGGGAGATAAGGTTTGACATCAAGTACTGGCTGTCAATAAAACTAAACCAAGTAAGTTTGATTTGAAAAAAAAAATCAGAACAAAAAGAAAATGGATGTGGCCAGTTGAGATAAAAATTGTAAAACTTACTGTCCCATCAACCAAATCCACACCAGAGAGTAGAAGCATACTCCTGTGTACAGCTTCCACCTAAAGTACACAGTATATTTTTATAAGACTCCAGACTTTCTCTTTTTCATAAGCATATTTTCAATTTTTTTTTTTTATATGCAGTCAAACTTTAACTTTAAGATAAGAACACAAACAAAACGGTTTTATAGAGTAAAAATAATTAAAATGGTTATATGACAACAAAAAGGAATTAAACCTAATGTTGTGAATATCACATTTAAGAATGAATAAAAAAGAACAAACTCGGGAAATCGAAAACAAAATAACCAAGATAAAAAACACTAAGAACTAATGTGGTTCGGCTATATGTGCCTATGTCCACGGGTTAACAACATTAGTCTTTCACTATATCAATAATGAATACAACGGATAATCTTGCCAAGTCTCTAGGATTAAGACTTGATGAAAAACCTGAAAAAACAAGAACAAGAAATACTCTTATCTCTTTCTTTTCTCTCGCACATACTTTGCCCTCACAATATTGTCACACTCTAACTCCTTGAGTGGTATACAACTTATTATTTTGCTCCAATTCAAAACTAGTGCAATAGCCTGTTTATATAGACATAGGAAAGGTCTTCTTCAATAAGCATTACTAATCCTAATTGGAATCTAGTTATGAATCCTTCCCCACTTGAGAAACCAACTTCAATTGGGAAAACAACTTAAATTGGGTAAACAACTCCAGTTGGGAAAACAAATCCAATTGGGAAAACAACTTCAATTGGGTAAACAATTTAAATTGGATAAACAACTTCAATTGGGAAAACAACTCCAATTGGGAAAACAACTTCAACTGGGTAAACAATTTAATCCTCTAAAACTATAATTCCTGATAGACTCGGGACAACTTATCATGGGCTGAAAAAACCCAACACCTAATACATTATTCCGCATACCTCACGCCACTTCTCTAAATGCCGGAAAGGAACTTGGAGAGTAAAGAGTAAAGTTAAAAATGTAAAATAGTTGGCCTAACACACAGGATGCATAACTATAATACGATGTTAGAGAACGACTAGACCCAATAGCTTAATGTATATTAAGGTGTCCTTCCTCACGTGTAGCCCCATCCTGAGTGTAGATAGGGAGAGAGAAAAACATTTGGGTGCCCCCGACCTTGTAATATATGGGTGCAGCCCCACCCTGCAACATATGGGTGCAGCCCCTCCCTGCACCTTGCAAACCAAGAAAGAAGTGGGGGAATGGGGATTGAGTTTTAGAACCCTGTACCTGCAAACCAAGGCTATGATACCATGTTATAATTAGAGCATTCAATCAAAAACCAATTGGTAATTGGTGGATAGGTCTAAGACATATATATTTGATGCAAGGCTATATATTCATGATGTAAGTATTCCCTCAAGAAAAACCAAAAGAAAGAACAAAAAGAGAAAAAGAACGAAGCTATTAGATGGGTTTCCAATTGTGTGAGATTACTGAGTTTTGATAGTTTTTGAAAAACTTCACTTCCACAACCAAGGTTCAGTATTAGTCTAACGCAGAATGTTGATATTTTTTTTTCTTTTTTTTTGAGTCACTATAAAAAGATCTATTCAGCAGTAGTATAACCCTACCTTGGCAACAGTGAGTCCAATGGGGCATGGCCTGTGTGGAGATCGTGTCGCAAAGACTCCCCTCCTTTCACCGTTTAGTCTTGGTACCCTCACCTATTCATCCAGTCGACCTTTCCACAAAGTTAAAAAGAATAGCTAATCACCGAAGGCAAAGACAGTAGTATACCATACTCAGAGGCACACACACCTTGGCCTTGAACCTTGACGTAGTCGGATCCTTCCAAAGCTTCTCCAGATTTGTATTTAGATGGAAAACATATATAACCCAGCAGTGAGAATATTCTCCAAGACCCTCAAGCGATGCTGGAGGAACACGAGCTGAATTAAAAATCAAACAGGCCCTGGAAAGAGGAACAAGTAGAGGTTGTCGAGGGGTCCCATTCCTGCACAATTAAAAAGTGAAAGATCATCAATGTGACATTAAAGAAACCTTGCATGCACAACAAATGTGCACATTCTTACTTTTCCCAAACAAATATGCACTTTTTGAAAAGCTTTTTATTTTATCAATATATAGACAAACAAATGCAAAGAACTTCTGGCAACCAAAGATGGGATAGCTTGAAAATGAGCAGACCTTAAGCCCTGAGAAACCAAGCATTCCCAAGGTGCAACTGCAAACTAAAGGTGGCTGAATATCCCATTCATGCACCAGTGTAAACTGCGCGCGTGTGTGTATAGGTGTGCAACATGTTACTTTAACTCTACGATAAACCTTATTCTAATAATTTCAACTGCAATGTTTAATTTATCTATATGACTCCTTTTGCTCTGACAAGTGACAGGATAAAAATCCAACACATCCACTGGGGATGGAACCCAGAACTCAACCTCAACCCTTTAGATTTAGAAGGAGATAGGTGCTACTAAGCCCAAAGGAAATAGAATTTTTTCTAGCACTGCTGAAAGTTTTCACCATAATTTGATTTCTGTACATACTTAAAATCGAAGGGACAGAGCGTTTTGAAAACTACCATTTTACTCAAAGGAAAAGACAAATGAAACCTATTAACTCAATCATCGGTTTTGGAAAATCAGATAATTTGGATATCAGTATTGGTCGGTCTGTTTTCTCTTTGTACTTTAGTTCCTTGATTAGCATCAGATTTCTTCAACCACTTCATGAGGAGTAAACAATTCTAGTGATGAGTAAACAATTCTAGTGATCAGATCTAGCTATATACCCACCCACTCAATCACTTTGGGCGCAATTGTATCATATTGATAGACAGATGATATATGAACATACAGTCAAGTGATGAGAAACAAAGATCTTTAAGTCGGAATACCAAACTTTGTCCACCCAAAATACCTGGTAGAGAAGCATGACTGGACGACACCAATAGGTGCCATGGGGTAAGAAGTCAGCTCCAAACTATCCAACTTAGGTTGCGTCAGCGCTTCTCTCAAAGCCTCCAAATACAAAATGATAAAGAATTAGCAAGCCGAGAAAAAACGCGAATGACATGTGAAATGCCAACGCTACGATCAATGTTACTTCCGGATACGCCTATGGACTGAAATGAACACAATCATGATCCAGGCAAATCCCTAAACGATTACGTAATGAAGTACAACAACATAGGCAAATAGTTAAGGTACTGTCCGGACAACAACCAACCAAATTTCCAATCACAAATGTATATGAAATAAACCAGCTCAATTAAATGCAGAATCACTGCTGGAGAGTGTACCTGCTGAGCCCGAATTCGACCTTGCCGTTCGGCACCACATATGTCTGAGGAAGCCTTGAGAGATTTCTGGAGCTCACCAATCTTGGAATCCAAATCCCTTGATTTTCTTTTCAACAAATACACTGTTAAAAACCAAAAGAAAGATAAATTACAAGAACCCAAATGCAATGCAGTAAGATGAACTACAAGAAAGAGAAATTACAAGAAAAGGCGGTGGAGGCGGAGAGCGCTACAAGCGCAAAGGTTATGGTGGCTCTTAACCATTTTGATTCATCTGTGCTGTAACTGTAAGCCATGGAAAATTGTAACGGATTCTCTTCTCACAGTTAAAACAAAGAGTTTCCCCATCTGGGCGCTTGGTCGTGACATATAGGGTTTGGACCGAGGGTGGAAAACCGAGTTTGTTTTTTTTTTTTTTTTTAACAAACAGTATTATTTCCATTAAAGGCTGAGCTTAGCATCACAATGAGTTAGCAATAATATAGTCCAAATTTGCCTTTGGCGAGAATCGAGCCTAATACCTCTCATTTGTAAGTGAAGATGAATATCACTAGGTCATAGTACTAAGTGGCAGAAGGGATAACCAAGTTGAAAGGCCATGATTCGCCCAATAATGATTCTTCAGGCCAGTTGGCTCCCAGCTCGGAAGAGCATTAATTTGATCAAGTCCTAATGGAAGTAGAACTCTTAAAGGGTCAGACTCTGGCGTAGCTCAGTCGAGTCCTGGTTAAATTAAAATTGCCAAGAATCAGTTTGGTTTTCTAATAAGATTCGAATTATTCCATGAATCAAAACCTATGGTTGATCAGATAAGAATGAATCAAGTGCACAAAGGAACTAGGTTCAGAAATCTTTGTCCAATTCGAAGAAGCTAAAATCGGATAGAGTTTGAGTTTTGGCTAAAGAAGGGATTAAAAGGTTAAAGAGATGATATCTAGGTGATTGCCGAGTAAGCATAGTCCTATCAGGATTCTACCTTGGCAGACCTAATTACACGAAATCCATATAGAAGTGGTTATTCAATGTGAGAAGCCTCTTCAAATTAACAAACAACTCAAAGCGTTTTACGAGAAAATCCTCACTTTATGTAAAACCCTTCTCAGAACCCTAAGAAAAATACTAATTATCCTACCTCTCTTGTCAACACATCTTCAGTTTGGATAAGGAAACATCACTATGTTGACAACCGGTGACATCTTCAGTTTGGGTAAATAGCACTGGAGCTATAAATCAAGTAGACTTAGAAGCATCTTCAGTTTGGACAAGTAAACGACATTACTTCTAGTTGGTTAGTTATTTATTCGTCTAGGCCAGCAAAGAGTTTTTAATTTGTTTGCCTAAAGAGGTCACTTCATTAGCTTCTCGGTGAACTGAGATGTTCTATATGGTTAGTCCCATGTGCATTTCGTAGTTCGACATTTAGGCAGCCAAACCACCATTTATCACAAAAACACTCATCTCCTTTAAGTATATTTGCCCATACAATTTGATACCAATCTGACGCAATTATATTCTCACAAATATAGTTTAAGCTATCAAACCTGATGCAAAAGGGCCTGAACTTCACAATTAATTAAGCAACCTTGTCTTTAGGTTCTAAAACCCCCTAAGCCGAGAGGTGTTACTTCCTCAGTTGCAATCGCTTAGGTACAGAAGTTAGCAACGCATTTTGTTGGAAATGTGCTCTAAAGCCAATCATGAGATGATATTTTACAAACATTTCATATGTTAAACTAATTTATAAAATATCGTTATTGCACCCTCACTAAGACATTAATAGGGCGATAGCTCAAGCTAGTGAATCAAGGTCTCATTAGGTTCCAAACACCATTGAGAGACTAAACCACATGATTGAGAATTGTGTATAATGGTGACATCGCTAATCTCAAGGTTGCTCCTAAGGATAATATAGATAACCGTTGTCTAGCCTATTATTCAACTATCTTTGGAATGACATCTTAAAAGGTGTCATCACTAAACACAGTTGATTGGCTTTAGTGCAAGTGGGAGATTTTAAAAAATGTGCCCTAAAGCAACATGAGATAATATATGAACATTTCACATGTTAAACTAATCTAGTTTAATGTAAGGGCAAATGTTATTGTTTAAAGCATCTCATTAAACGTTATATGCTTAAACGATAAGTCCAAGGAACATGTGGGTAAAAGATGTGATATAAAAAGTTAGATTCATAAGATCTTTCGCTTTCATACAAATATCCTAAATGTTCATGATCATATGATTGCTAATTTGGCATTGACAGTCTGGATAGATATGTCTGTACTATGTTTTCTCCCTAAAGAGTGACTAGTCTCGAGTTATTGGTGTGAATGACACCAAGATAACTATGTAGGTGCTCAATATTTGTTTTATGGCTAGGTCCTTAATTTTTTATTATGTTAAAGATATTCCATTTGAGAGTGTCCATGACATCGTTGGGTTAAACTACCTAGTCATGGAGGCAAGTGAGTGTACAACAAGAGATCTCTAACCTTCAAATTGTTAAGGGAGAATACTCTATAATATGATTAAGAGTCTCTCATCAGAGCACATGAATGAGATTTAGGAAGTACATCTCAAATCACATTCAATGTAATCATATAGACAAGAGAATCACATTGAAGAGTAGACATGAATAGACTATCAACCAAACAATGTCATCAAGAGTATTGATGTAGAGAAAGACCGTATTGCATTGTAATCCCAAGTCGAATAGGTTATCCAACCAATTCTAAGCTTGGGTAGCCATGACATACTGTTAGGTGTCCCTCATGGTTTTGTGGAATTCCCGAAGATTAGCAATCACTAATCTTTAACAAAGGGAGAATTGAATGTTATTTCAATTTCGCAATCAACTGTTAAGAGTTAAAATCGACCATTGCCTCGCTGATTGAAATGTAATGAATCGTACATCGTATAAGGATGAATGTGAAGAAATATCAATGAGATGGGTAAGTAATTAAATAGTTTAATTAAGCATGGTCAAGATAAAATAATTGGTTAATTAATCATACGAAATGTTTCATATTGGACTTTAAGTTAGTTTCGTGTTCTGTAATCCAAATGGGTTTGGTCAATAATGGCCCATTATGTTTAAGTTGTGCAACAACTAAAAAAAAATGGGCACTTAACCCAACTAATGAGGGATGCTAGCCATAAGAAGGAAGTGGCTTACGTACAAGCTTGCCATTCACTTGGAAGTGGGTATACAAGTGGCTTTATAGCCAAAACTCATTGGGGTTTTTTTGAAAAGAAATTTGGGGGCACAACAACTCTCCTTTTCTCTCTAAGGAGGCTATCCATCTACAGGAAAATAGCTAGCAATATTTCTTACTCTAGACTATCCATCTTGTGTTCACACTACATCCTTGGTGTGGAGATTAGGAGGCTTTCAAATTTGGAAGCTTTGGAGATTCTTTTTTATCAAATCCTCAAGAAGCAAAGGAGCAAATTTTCAAGGAGAGAAGATCCAAAACACAAGGAGGCATCCATGGAGTTTGGAGTGAACTTGAGGGCACTCCACTTGGGTGATAATCTTGTGTAAACAAGGATGAGCTTTAAGGGTATGAGAGCTCAAAACTCTTTTCTCTTTAATTTATAAAGAGTCTTGGTTTACCAACACTAGGACTTGAATTTCAGCAAATTTAGAATTTCTTTTGAGTTCATGCCATCTTTAATAGTTAATTTTATGCATGTGTTGCTCAAATGTTCTAAGTTAGACAAAAGTTTCCCTTGACATTTGCCACCCCCGTCACATATATTTTACTCGCCTGACTGAGCTCAACCGCGAGTTGGCACGCTCGCATTCACAAGAAGGACATAGTTAGCTCACAGTTACTTGGCCTACATGCCACGTAGACTTTGTAATTTTTAGGGTCAACACTAGGCCCTTTGAAAATTGAAAATGAAGGAAATTTTGTGAAAAACATGTTCATTTGAGCAACATCTATAGCATGCAATTAACAAATTAAAGGCGGAATCATGCTTGCATGCACTCAAAACAAAACATTACCCATTAAATTCAAAGCCTAGTAGATTGGTGAACCAAGACTCAACTCAAAAGAAAGTGAGTTGAGAAATTTATACCTTTGTAGATTCCTCTTTGCAAAAGCAAAGGATAATCACCCAAGAGATAGGGCCTTCATTCCTTGCTTCTTAGATCCATGGATTTGGATGGAAGAATAGGTTTCTCCAAGTTCCCAAAATTGAGAACCTCTAAGTCTCCACACCAAGGTAAGATGTGAAGAAGAGATGAGTGACCTTGGAAGAGAAAGATTACTAGCTAATCCCTCCAAGGGTGGCCGGCCTCTTTAGAGAGAAAGGAGAGCTTTGTGTTCTCTCCAATTTCCTCAAAAAAACCTTAAATGAATTTTGGCTATAAAGTCATATTTATACCTTCCTTCATTGGAGTGGCAAACTTGTTATTAAAGCAAGTTCACTACCCTCCTCTAAATGGCCGGCCTTAAGGGTTTATTGGGCTTTCAAGCCCTTTGTTTATTCAAGTTGTCATACAACTTGAGTTAATGGGCTTGCCATTCAAATCCCATTGGGCCTTGCGGCCCAAAACTAACCCTAGGTCTATAACGAACTTATTCGTTTGATTAATTAACATATTAATTAATTCTAGCCATAAATAAATAATTAAACCATTTAATTATCCTTACTCATCTCCGTTGTTTCTTCAATCTCTACCTTACACGGTGTACGATCCATTAGGTTCCTTTTAGCGAGGCAGTGGGCGATTAGAACTCTTTCAAATCGATTGTGAATTGAAACTTACTTTCAATTCTCCCTTTAGTGATTATACACGTTTAGGGCTTCCACAAACCATGAGTGACACCTAGTAGTATGTCATGGTTACCCAAGCTAATCAGAAGAGGTGGAGAACCTATTCAGTTTAGGATTACAATGCAATACGGTATTTCTCTAATACAATACTCTTGACCACATTGTTTAGTTTGATAGTTTATTCATGTCTACTATCCAATGTGATTCATTTACTTATATGATTACCTTGAATGTGATTTGGAACGACTTCCTAAATCTCATTCATACTCTGGCCAGAGATTCTTAATCATATCATAGAGTATTCTCCCTCAAACGGTTTGAAGGTTAGAGATCCCTTGTTGCGCATTCACTTGCCTCCATGGCTAAGTGGCTTAACCCCAACAATGCCGTGGACACCCGTGAATGGAGTGACTTTGACATAATCAAAGATCAAGGACCTAACCACAAGACAACTATGATGCCTCAGGTCAAAGGACTACTTTGCATTATCCCAACCATGAGTTCTCATGTGACATGAGTATGAGAACTCTTCGTTGATCGTGTTCAGTGAACTCATTTCTTATTGAGC